GGGGAGGACGGGGGGTTATTCCCGCTCCTTTTCCCGGCAGCTGCGGGATGTCCCCGAGGAGGAGCGGGCGCGGGAGCAGCTGGAGAGCGGGATCCTCCACGCGCTGCTCCTCTGCGAGGGCTTCTTCGACCCGCACCAGACCTGGCGGCGGCAGCTCCGCGGGTGAGCCCGGCCCCAAATCCCGCCTCCATCCCAAAATCCCGCCCCACATCCCACTGCTTCACCCCTCTCTCTCTCTCCTTCCAGGGAATTCATCAGCTCCAAGGAGAAGAGCAAATACAAGTTCGCCCCCGCCCCTTTGCCCCCCGAGTTCGGCGCCTTCTTCCAAGGTAAAGGGGGGATGGGGTGGGGATGGGGGCACTGTGGGATCCATAGGGGTGGGGATATCCAGGAAATGTCTAGGGGCAGTATGGGATCCATAGGGATGGAGAATATCCAGGGATAGGGATGGGGGCACTGTGAGATCCATAGGGATCCAGGGATAGGGATAGGGGCAGTGTGGGGATCCATAGGGATGGGGAATATCCAGGGATAGGGATAAGGGCAGTATGGGATCCATAGGGATGGGGAATATCCAGGGATAGGGATAGGGACACTATGGGATCCATAGGGATGGAGAGCATCCAGGGGTAGGGATAGGGGCACTGTGGGATCCATAGGGGTGGGGAATGCTCAGGGATAGGGATAAGGGCACTATGGGATCCACAGGGGTAGGGAGTGCCTAGGGATAGGGCCACTGTGGGATCCATAGGGATGGGGAATATCCAGGGATAGGGATAGGGGCACTGTGAGATCCATAGGGATGGGGAATATCCAGGAAATGTATAGGGGCACTATGGGATCTGTAGGGGTGGAGAATGTCCAGGGATAGGGATAGGGGCACTATGGGATCTATAGGGGTGGGGAATATCCAGGGATTTGGATAGGGGCACTATGGGATCTATAGGGGTGGGGAATATCCAGGGATAGGGATAGGGGCACTGTGGGATCCATAGGGATGGGGAATGTCCAGGGATAGGGATAGGGGCACTGTGGGATCCATAGGGATCCAGGGATAGGGATAGGGGCACTGTGGGATCCATAGGGATGGGGATATCCAGGAAATGTCTAGGGGCAGTATGGGATCCATAGGAATTGGGAATATCCAGGGATAGGGATAGGGGCACTGTGGGATCCATAGGAGTGGGGAATATCCAGGGATAGGGATAGGGGCACTATGGGATCCATAGGGGTGGGGAGTGCCCAGGAATAGGGATAGGGGCAGTGTGGGATCCATAGGGATGGGGAATATCCAGGAAATGTATAGGGGCAGTATGGGATCCATAGGGATGGGGAATATCCAGGGATAGGGACAGGGGCACTGTGGGATCCATAGGGGTGGAGAGGTAGAGGATGCTGGGGCAGGGATGGGATCCAGGAATACCTGTAGGATCCATGGGGAGATGCAGGATTCAGGGGCAGGTATAGGATCCAAGGGTAAATAAAGGATCCTACACCTGCTCCAGGTTATCCTATACCTGTCTCTGGGAATATGGGATCCTATACCTGCTCCAGGATTGTTATATGATTCCAAGGGCACATATAGGATCCTGTACCTTCTTCAGGTTATCCTATACCCGTCCCTGGGAATATGGGATCCTGTATGTCATCCTATACCTGTCCCACAAATGTAGGATCCTGTACAAACCTGTCCCTGGGAATATGGGATCCTGGACCTGCTCCAGGTCATTCTATACCTGTCCCACAAATATAGGATCCTGTACCTGCTCCATGATATCATAAACCTGTCCCTGGGAATATGGGATCCTGTACCTGCCCCAGGATATCCTATACCTGTCCCACAAATGTAGGATCCTGTACCTGTCTCAGGATTGTTGTATGATTCCAAAGGCAAATATAGGATCCAATACCTGTCCCAGAATATCCTATATCTGCCCCACAGATCTACGATCCTGTACCTATTCCAGGCAACAGGAGCAGGATCCTACAGCAGGAATGAAGTCCTGCACCCCCCAGGAACCCACAAAAATCAACAGAAAGGGGATTTTTGTTCCGGGGAAGCCCCAAAAACCCCCTTTTGGAGGCAACAACCGTTGCAAAAAATCCCCTAAAACTCCCCCCACCCCGTAAAGCCCCAACAGACCCTGATTTTTGAACAAACCCCCATTTTGGGGGGACAAAAATCCCTCATCTGGCACAGCCAGAGCTGGGAAATTTGGGGCGTCTTCACCTTCTCCATCATCACCAAGGGCCAGCACCAGCGTGGGGTGGATTTGGGTTAAAAGGGGATTTTTTTCCCTATTTTTGGGGGTACAAAGGAATTTTCCCCTATTCTTTTGGTTTGAAAAAGAGATTTTTTTTTTTCCCCCTATTTTTGAGGGTTGAAAAAGAATTTTTACCCTCTTTTTTGGGGGTAGAAAATGGATTTTTTCCCTGTTTTCTGGAGGTAGAAAAGGGATTTTCCCCCTATTTTTTGGAGTAGTAAAGGGTTTTTTTCCCCCTTTTTTTTTTGTAATACAAAGGTAATTTTCCCCTATTTTTCGGAGTTGAAAAGGGATGTTTTTCCTTATTTTTTGGCTTGAAAAGGGATTTCCCCCCCCCCGTTTCTTGGGTTGAAGAGGGATTTTTTCCCTATTTTTCAGGGTACAAAGGCAATTTTTTCCCTGTTTTTCAAGGTACAAAGGCAATTTTCCCCTATTTTTTTGGTTTGAAAAAAAGCATTCTTTCCCTAATTTTTTGGCTTGAAATAAGCATTTTTTCCCCTAATTTTTTCGAGTTAAAAAGGAATTTTTTTCCCTATTGTTTTGTGTAGAAAAGGGATTTTTTTTTCCTTATTTTTGGAGGTAGAAAAGGAGTTTTTTCCCCAATTTTTTTTTGCTGTTGGCTCCTCAGATTAACCCATTCCCTCCTCATCCCCACAGAGAGTTTCCAAGCAGGAAAGCAGCTCCCTGAGACACTCCAGCTCCGACTGCTCCATCTTTTTGGAGCCATCCTCTCTGGCTCCAAGGTAATGCTAAGGAGGGGGAGAATTGGGATCATCACTAAGTTAAATTATTAGGTTAAATAAAATAATTCAATTAAATAGTTGTTAAATAATTAGATTAAGTAAAATAATTCCATAAAATAATGAAACCTAGCAATCAGATTAAGTCAAATAATTCAATAAAATAAGTAAGGAAAAAGATTAGATTAAAAAATTAAGTTAAATAATTAGATTAAATAAAATAATTCAATAAAATAGTTAAGTTAAATAATTAGATTAAGTGAAATGATTCAATAAAATTATGAAAACTGGTAATTAGATTAAATAAAATAATTCAATAAAATAAGGGAAAATATTAAATTTAAAAATTAAGTTAAATTATTAGGTTAAATAAAATAATTCAATAAAATAGTTGTTAAATAATTAGATTAAGTAAAATAATTCCATAAAGTAATGCAAACCAGTAATCAGATTAAGACAAATAATTCAATAAAATAATGAAAACTGGTAATTAGATTAAGTCAAATAATTCCATAAAATAAGTAA